AACAGATGGAGTGAAGTGTATGCACTCACCTCAGCTGTTTCCATGCAAAATTCAGAGCCTGGAGATAAATGTGCTTTTCAGATTGTTTTTGAGTAAGCTGTGAGGTGCACATTTGCGTAACCTCTGGTGGGGGGTGGTAACAGCTTAAACTTTGCAGCTGTTTCTCCTGTGAGCATTGTTTTTTGTTGGGAACTTGAACAAAGGAAGGGTTGAAATGTGTGTAGTATTGTCTTTTACATGCCTCTCTCATGTTGGAATGAATTTGGAAAATGTATTTTGTGTTTTGCTTGTTCTCATCTCCAAAGCTTTGCTGGAGGTGTTCTTTCTACTTCAAGGGATTTCTGTTGGTAACAGTAATGTCACTGTTGCCATTCACATCTCTGTAAAGTTGGTTATCTTTGCCTAGTTTTTTTTGTCACATAAAACACTTGAATGAAAGAACAAGAGTAAGAGGAGCAGGAAGTTCTTACATGCTGAAAACAGATTATATTGCCACCGATACTTAGCAGTTTCACTTAAAAATAGTTGGATGTTTCAGAAATAGGCTGAGATTCTTTTCTCCGGCAGCACAAAGTGACTAACAAGCATGTTTAAACTGTTTAAACATCATTAGTAAGATGATGCAGCATGAATGTAGGGGGTGTTTAGCTTGGAGAAGAGGAGGCTGAGGGGGGATCTTATTAATGTTTATAAATATCTAAAGGGTGGGTGTCAGAAAGATGGGTCCAGGCTCTTCTCAGTGGTGTCTGGTGACAGAACTAGGGGCAATGGTCACAAGCTGGTGAAAAAGAGGTTCAACCTGAAGATATGGAAGAACTTCTTTACAATGAGAGTACCAGAGCACTGGAAGGGGCTGCCCAGAGGGGCGCGACTTTCATAGCCTGCCTGGATGTGTTCCTGGGCGATGTACTCTAAGTGATCCTGCTCTGGCAAGGGCGTTGGACTAGATGATCTTTTGAGGTCCCTTCCAACCCCTAACATTCTGTAACGTTCTGTGAACCAATGAATGCCACAGGACCGACCTTTATGGCTCCATATCAAAACACTAAACATTATGATGTCTTTTTATCACCTCCACATAGTGTCAAAGAACAGTCTTAAACAGGATGGAGGGTAGCAGGGTTTGGTCAACACCCTGCAGCATAATTCATGTACGGTGTTGTCTGAAAATTCTCTGATTGATAATTGTATGATAGAAATCATGCTTTCAAGGGCTTAAAAAAAAAAAAAAAGAAAAAACTCATCATGCATTTAGTTTAGAAACTGGCAAAGTCGATAATTCTGCAAAATTCATGTTCTTGTTCATGTCCTTCTCAAGCAAATATGGGATGTTTGGTCTGTAATGGATAATTGTTTTTATATGTAAGAATGCGAATCACTCCAAAGCCAGCCACAATGGGTAGAACTAAATATGAACAAAGATATTTGAAGGAAAATGAATGCCTAGACCAAAAATATGTTTCATTATTTTGACAGCAATTTGGAACAGGTGAACTGCCTAGGTTGAAGAATATAATTTTGGTGACCCCGTGACGTATTTAATCCTGGATATCTTTCAGGACAAAAGTCAATATTACATACTTTGTTTTGCAACCCAAAAGATTATGATATAAGCCAGAATACTCTGGGCTTCTTTTGTCTGCTTCCCTACAGACCAGTCAATTTTTAGTTTGGAAAGTGTCCATAAAGCTTATGAAAAAGACCCAGACTGTCCCCCTTCATGCACTTATATACCAGAGAAAAAGACAAGGACAAAAGAACTGCTTAGTGCTCTCTAATACATGCAGACAGCATCTAAGTCAAGACTGTTAATGTTACAGGTGATG